CCTTGCCTAGTACAAGCCGAGATCCCATATGGGCACTGGTTCTAATCCCGGTGGCTCCACATCCCATCTAGCTCCCTGCTTGCATGCTGGGAAAGCAATCGAAAATGGCCCAAAGCCTTGGGACCCTACACCCACATGGGAAACCAGAAGAGGCTCCTGGCTTCAGATCAGCTTAGCTCTTGCTGTTGCAGCCACTTAGGGGGTAAATCATCAGAGATCTTCCTCTGTTTCTCCTCCTCTCTGCATATCTACCTTTCCAATAAAAATAAAAAATCTTTTAAAAATGTGTTTTTTAAAAAAGATTTCTTTATTAGAAAACCAGAGAGGAAAGACAGAGAGGAAGATCTTCCGTCCAAGGATTAACCCCCACCTCCACCCCCAGTGGCCACAACTGCGCCGATCTGAAGCCAGGAGCCTCTTCCAGGTCTCCCACACAGGTGCAGGGTCCCGAGACTTTGGGCCGTCCTCTACTGCTTTCCCAGGCCTCAAGCAGGGAGTAGGAGAAGTGGAACATCTGACACCGAAAGCAACACAGGCAACACAGACAAGAAGCTTAACCTTTACATTTAGTGCCAGCCCCTCTCTCTTCTTTTGCCCTTCCTGTGAAATTTTTTTCAAATAAGGAAGAAAACAACTGGACACAGAGGAAGAGGTGAGGATAAAGAGACCTACTGAACATTATGAGCCACCAGCTGGTAGATGTTTCTTTGTCCAGGGTCCACTGGCCCCTTCTTCCAGAGTCTCCCAGCCTTCCCCCTTCCCTGTAGAACAAGCCGGCAGGTCAGAAACAGAAGAGGCAGAGCCGTCATTACTCCTTAGTCTGCAAGGCTGGCACGCAACCAACAGAACCTTCTGGTTAGTCGATCCTGAGCCCTGACTAAGCCTGGTATTCTGGCAGGGTTGGGATGGGGTGACTCGGGCAGAGTAGTTTGTTGGTTGAGCAGTGTTCCTAATAATAACGACACGTCCGTCCCTGCCTGCCAGCCTAAAGATAAAATTCCTGCTACAGCCAACAATAGGGGCAAGAAACCCAAGCCTGAGCAACAGGGAAGCTGAGCAACCGGACAGGAGAAGCCCCCCACCCCTACCACCGCCCGTGGCCGGCATGCTCCCTGTTGTTGGGACCTGTGGGCTGGGCGTCCAAGGCTCCCAGGCCGCCTCAGGCCGGTCCCTGCGGACGATGGGAGGGGGTGGCTCTAGACGTCCCTTTATAGAGCCGTCCTGGCAGAAGGCGAGGGCTGCACTGCAGTGGAGACCCAGGGAGACCCGGGTTCTGGCATCTTTTTTCTTAGTCTTTTGAGGTTAACAAAACCTAAAAGACAAAGTAGTAGGAGTATGTTACTCATTAATAAAGCCATATTCTGGGCTCTAGTATTTCTCTTGCAGCCCCCTGCCGTCCACACAGGCGCTCTCTGGAGCCTGCAGAGTTTCCCAGTTAATATGTGGTTCCCGTGCTCCAGAGGTGGTCATCTCAGCAAGTCAGAGTGGACGGACAGGACCTGACTATTTCGAGGTTTCTGCCTCGCGTTGATCAGGCTCCCCGGAACCCGAAACCAGGCATCGGCAGAATTCCACAGCCTTCTGCGATTCCCTGCATTCCACGAGTCCCTGAGGAAAGGGGAAAGTGGGGGGTGGGTCAGCATGGGAAAGTGGCTGTGGATTCCGCGTCCCGCCAGCGTCTTATTGTGAAAGGTGCGGGAAGTGTCCAGGCTAGGGTAGTCTGCAGGGCCGGCTGTGAGGGGGCGGCGCGTGGTGACGCCCTGAGGCGGGGTTGAGGTGTGTGGGCTGAGGCACCTCCTCTATCCACGTTACAATGGGGGGACTGCCTTTGACCTCAGAGCCGTTTTGGAGTATTGTAACTTCATGGGATACAGCTCAAAAGTTGTAGAGCCGGGAGGGGTGGGGGGTGGGGGGAACGCCACCGGAACAGTTTGGATGTTTTGGGAGCCACCGCTCACAGGGGCTCCATAACTTGAAATTTCCAAACTGGATCGAAGACGAAGAGACACTCGGTGAGCTAGGAGGGGCTGATTGGAAGGAGGGTGGCAATAGTTACAGTCTAGTAAGTGCTCATTAGAAATTTTAATGACGAATTTACTATTTGGGTTTATGTCTAAGGTATGGGGACATTGCCAAAGTCCTTTTAAAAAATTAAGGAGATTTACTTGAAAGGCAGAGTTAGAGAGAGAGAGCTTCTGTCTGCTGGCTCATTCCCCAAATCACAGCAAAGCTATAGCTTGACTAGGCTGAACCCAAGAGTTTTTATCAGGTCTTCCATGAGTGTAGAGACCCAAGAATTAGGGCCATCTTCCAGTGCTTTCCTAGGAGCATTAGCAGGGAGCTGAATGGGAAGTGGAGGAGCAAAGACATGAACTGAACCAGCTCGCATTTGGGATAGCCAACATCTCAGATGATGGCTTAACTGACTACAGCACAATACCAGCCTCTGGAAATCACTTGGGGTGGGTGGGTGGGGGATTATTTTTATTTGAAAGGCAGAGAGAGAGAGAAACCACTATCCTCTGGTTCACTCCTAAAATGCAAGCGATAGCAGGGCTGGGTGAGGCAGGCAGCCAGAAGCTCCTCACCATCTCTCACAGTAGCACAAAAGCAGGTGCATCATCTCAGGCCTTCCAGGTGGCATTAGTGGGAAGCTGGATCTGAAACCCAAGAGCCAGAACTCCAGTGGGCTCTCTGAAATGGAATGTGGGAGCCCCAGTGACACCCTTCCAGCTAAGCCACAAGGACCCCTCAGGAGAGTCCTTGTGAAGAACGCGAGGGTAACTTTCATAGATCAGAGCTGCAAGAAAGGGGAGTGGTGTAGCTTCAGAACAAAAAGGAGGGGGAAATGGAAAGATCCTATCCCTCCCACCTTTTTTGAAAAATGTATTTGTTTGATTAACAGAGTGACTCAGGCAAAGGGAGGAAGTCCAACCATTTAGCTTCATTCCCTAAATTGGTAAATCACCAGGGTCAGGATGATGCAGGGGCCAGGAACTTCTACATGGCTGGCAGAAACTCAAATGCTTGAGCCAGGAGTCAGTGCTATAGTGTAGTGAGTTAAGCCATTCCTGCAACATCAGCACAGCCTATGAGTGCTGATTTAGTCTCAGCTGTGCTACTTCTGGTCTACCTCCCTGCTACTGCACCTTGGAAAGCAGCAGAGCATGGCCCAAGTGCTTGAGCCCTCAGCCACCCTCATGGGAAACCTGAATGGAGCACCTAGCTTCAGCCTAGCTTAGCTCTATTCGTTGTGACCGTTGGGAAAGAGAACCAGCTCTTTCCAAAGATCTCTCACATGCACTCTCTCTATATAACCCTGACTTTGAATAAAATAGAAGTAAATGTCTTTTTTAAATTACTTGAGCCATTACAGGTTCCTGCTAAGCTATATTAGGAGGAAGTTGGATCAGAAGCCAAGAAACCTGAACTCTAACCAACAGTTCTGTAAGATGTTGGCATCCCAAGGGGCAACTTCACCTGCTGTGTCCTAACAACCCTTTACAAAATTGCTTGGTTTTTTATTTGTTCCAGAAAAAAATATAGGAGTGTTATTCAGGAAGAGACTAGAGAAACCACCCATAGTGCCTCACCTATTCTGAGAAAATTTGTAAGGGTTTGCTTGGCTTCCAGCTGCCATGCTCAGACTGGCCTGACTTTTCTCCCTATGAATATCTGATGGAGAGTGATGGAACTGAAGAAGGCAGCAAAACCCTAGTGTAAAGCTCTTCTCAAGGAGACCAGAATGTAAAATAATCTTAGTTCAGCAGAAGTAAAGTTCCACAATAGAACATGTTACAGACACATGGGCAGTGTCCTTGATTCAGGCTCTATGAAAAGTTGAACATAATACACACTCACTTCCCTCCCTTCCCCTTTGAGTAACAGAATATTTCTGTCCAAGGTGTCACACCTTTGCTGTGAAAGCCAGATTCTCTGTATGTTTGTATACACCTGTTCCTAGCAGTATTTCACCCTTTTAGCCAAGAGGGTGGGAGTAATTCAGATTTCCATCCAAAGATGAACAAGCAAAATGTATATAAATATAATAAATATTATTTAGCTTAAAAAGGAAGTTGTGGAGTGGGTGTCGATGCTCAGTCAGTGAAGCACATGGGAGATGCCACATCCATATAAAAGCGCCAGTTGAAGACTCAGCCATCCTGCTTCTGATCCAGCTTTCTACAATCCACCTAGCAAGGTGGCACATCATCTCCCAAGCACTTGAGTACCTGCTACCCCTGTGGGAGTTCCACATGAAGCTCCCAGCTACTGACTATTGTGTGCATTTAGGAAGTGAACAATTGGATGCAAGATTCTCTCCCTTCCTCTCTCTCTCTCTTTTAAATAACTAAGTAAATCCTTTTTTTAAAAAAGGAAATTATGACACATGTGCTACAACTTGGGTAACACTTGATAAAGTCATGCTCAGTGAAATTAAGCCAAGTCACAAAAGGATAAACATGTGTAATTACACTTATATGGCCTACTAAGTAAGAGTTGTCACATTCGCAGACACTGAAGAAGAGTAGTTTCCAGGGACTAGGGTGGAAGAGTTGGTATTTTAGTGGCCATAAGGTTTCAGGTTTGTAAGTTGAAAATTCAAGAGATAAACTGGTCACTACTGTGAATGGACAATATATTTTAAAATGTTGAGATGATTGTAAGCATTTAGATGCCTCTTGGGGGTACCTGTATCCCATTATCAGGGTTCCTGGGTTTAATGCCCAATTTATTCCTGATTCCAGCTTAGTGCTAAGGTGCATGCTGGGAGGTAGAAGGTGACCACTCAAGTATTTGGTTCCCGGCCATCTATGTAGAAAACCTAGATGGAGTTCTGGACTCCTGCATTTGGCCTGGCCCAGTATGGACTCTCATTAGCATTTGAGAAGTGAACTGATAGATGGAAAAAAAACTCTTTCAAATAAATAAATAAAATTTTGAAAATCTGAAAGCACTTTACCAAAACAATATTTCTTCTTTACCGCACAGACCTCGGAAAACCATGACTACTGCCAAAGGAATGGCCATAGGCATTGATCTGGGCACAACCTACTCGTGTGTGGGCGTATTCCAGCATGGCAAGGTGGAAATCATCGCCAACGACCAGGGCAACCGCACCACGCCCAGCTATGTGGCCTTCACGGACACAGAGCGTCTGATCGGCGACGCGGCCAAGAACCAGGTGGCCATGAATCCCCAGAACACTGTCTTTGATGCCAAACGTCTAATTGGCAGAAAGTTTAATGATCCTGTTGTGCAATCAGACATGAAACTTTGGCCTTTCCAAGTGATCAATGAAGGGGGCAAGCCCAAGGTGCTGGTTTCTTATAAAGGGGAGCAAAAAGCTTTCTACCCGGAGGAGATCTCGTCCATGGTGCTGACCAAGATGAAGGAGACTGCTGAGGCTTTTTTGGGCTACCCAGTGACCAACGCTGTGATCACAGTGCCAGCTTATTTCAACGACTCTCAGCGCCAGGCCACAAAGGATGCAGGTGTGATTGCAGGACTCAATGTGCTAAGAATCATCAATGAACCCACAGCTGCTGCCATTGCCTATGGTTTAGATAAAGCTGGTCAGGGAGAGCGACATGTCCTGATCTTTGATTTGGGTGGAGGAACCTTTGATGTGTCCATCCTGACGATCGACGACGGCATCTTCGAGGTGAAGGCCACGGCGGGCGACACGCACCTGGGCGGCGAGGACTTCGACAACCGGCTGGTGAGCCACTTCGTGGAGGAGTTCAAGAGGAAGCACAAGAAGGACATCAGCCAGAACAAGCGCGCGGTGCGGCGGCTGCGCACGGCGTGCGAGCGGGCCAAGCGCACCCTGTCGTCCAGCACGCAGGCCAACTTGGAGATTGATTCACTTTATGAGGGCATCGACTTCTACACATCCATCACTAGAGCCCGGTTTGAAGAGCTGTGTGCAGACTTGTTTAGGGGTACCTTGGAACCTGTTGAAAAAGCTCTTCGGGATGCCAAGATGGATAAAGCTAAAATCCATGACATTGTTTTGGTAGGGGGTTCCACGCGCATCCCCAAGGTGCAGAGGTTGCTCCAGGACTATTTTAACGGCCGTGACCTTAACAAAAGCATCAATCCTGATGAAGCAGTAGCATATGGGGCTGCAGTGCAGGCAGCCATTTTGATGGGTGACAAGTCTGAAAAGGTACAGGACCTTCTTTTATTGGACGTGGCTCCACTGTCCCTAGGGCTAGAGACAGCCGGAGGTGTGATGACCGTCCTGATCAAGCGCAACTCCACCATCCCCACCAAGCAGACGCAGATCTTCACCACCTACTCGGACAACCAGCCCGGGGTGCTGATCCAGGTGTACGAGGGCGAGCGCGCCTTGACACGTGACAACAACCTGCTGGGGCGCTTTGAACTTACCGGAATCCCTCCTGCACCCAGAGGAGTTCCTCAAATCGAAGTAACCTTCGACATTGATGCCAACGGTATTCTCAATGTTACTGCCATGGACAAGAGCACAGGCAAGGCCAACAAGATCACCATTACCAATGACAAGGGCCGGCTCAGCAAGGAGGAGATCGAGCGCATGGTGCAGGAGGCCGAGAAGTATAAAGCTGAAGATGAAAAGCAGAGGGAGAAAATCGCTGCCAAAAATGCCTTGGAATCCTATGCTTTCAACATGAAGAGTGCTGTGAGTGATGAAGGCTTGAAGGGCAAGATCAGTGAAGCTGATAAGAAGAAAATATTGGATAAATGCAATCAGGTCCTTGCATGGCTTGAGGCCAATCAACTAGCTGAGAAAGAAGAATTTGATCATAAGAGGAAGGAATTAGAGCAGGTGTGTAACCCTATCATCACAAAACTTTACCAGGGAGGATGCACGGGGCCTTCCTGTGCACCGGGGTATGCGTCTGGAAGACCCGCCGCCACGGGCCCCACCATTGAAGAAGTAGACTAATCTGTTCTGAAATTGGATGGTTCTAGGGTGCCTCTTGGTGAATTTTGTTCCCTTCATCTTCAAATATTGTTATGGTTTTTTAATTGACTGGACCGGAACTCAAGTTAACCATCTGACAGAGGAGTCTCAAATATACCATCTTTTCACATTCCAATATTCTGTTTTGTGACTCTGAAATGGACCCCTAGGAAAACCAGGCCCCTCTTTGAACCATTTAATGGATGTTAGATGTCTACTATTTATTTCTGGCACCCCAACTTTCCAGTGTGCATGATTACTTGTCACTCAGTAAATCTGCTCCCAAAGGAAATCGTTTCTGGTATCTTTAGTTTATGAGTGTACCTTGGAAAGTAAGCAAAAGGAGTTCATGGGAGTGAACATGTGTTGGTTGTAAGCTCACTGTGAGTGATTTAACTGGTAAGGGAAAAATAATTTGAATTTTTAAAAAAAGATTTAGTTATTTTTATTGGGAAGGCAGATGTACAAAGAGGAGGAGAGACAGAGAGGAACATCTTCCATCCAATGATTCACTCTCCAAGTGGCACGATGGCCGATGCTTTGCCAATCCAGGAACCAGGAACTTCCTCCAGGTCTCCCACACGGGTGCAGGCCCAAAGTTTTGGGCCATCCTCAACTGCTTTCCCAGGGCACAAGCAGGGAGCTGGATGGGAAGTGAAGCCGCCAGGATTAAAACCGGCTCCAATATGGGATCCTGGCACGTTCAAGGCAAGGACCTTAGCTGCTATGCTATTGTGCTGGGCCCAAATAATTTGAATTTTTATGAGCTCATTGTTTAGAACCTATAGTTTTAAAAAAGATTAATGTATTTGAAAGGCAGAGTAACAGAGCTGATGGCTCTTCCTCCTGCTGGTTCACTATTCCAGAGACCCAAAAACCATTCCTGGGCCAGATAGAAGCTGATCTCCCCCTTGGGTAGTGGGAACTGGAGAACTAGAACCATAGGAAGCTGGATTAGAAGAGCAGCTGGGACTTAAACCGCGGACTCTGTTCTGAGATGTTGGCATCTAAGTGGCAGAGTAACCTCTTGTGCTGTCCTGTAAATAAGGCTTGGCCCTCAAGTACCTCTAGCCCAGAGGAAGCGGTTGTCAACTATGCTGTCTGCTCATATTCAGTTTTGGGCAATTAGGTGTTTACGCTTATGGTCAAACACTAACCTGCTTGACGTTAACTATAAGCGGGGTATGGGAGATCCCCTTTCCATGCACTGTGAGTCTATTATCGCATCCAGAAAAATTTTCAACTCCTAATAAATCAGGACTTTTAATATGAAGGATGTATGGTCTTATTTTGTGAAAGAAATTTCCACTTAATGTCCACTTAATGGAAAGCAGTCGAGGATGGTTAGAGCCTTGGAACCCTGCACCCACATGGGAGACCTGGAAGAGGCTTTCCCCAGTCACAAGCAGGGAGCTGGATGGGAAGCAGTGCTTGCGGGGATTATTAGAACCAGCACCCATATGGGATCCCGACACTGCAAGGCAAGGACCTTAGCCACTAAGTTACCACGTCGCGGGCCCAAGATTTTTCTTTCTTTTTTTTTATTGTAAAGTCAGATTTACAGAAAAACTGGGCTGATCCAAAGCCAGGAGCTTCTTCTGGCCTCCTGTGTGGGTGCAGGCTCCCAAGACTTTGGCCCATCCTCCACTGCTTTCCCAGCCACAAACAGGGAGCTGGAAGGAAGTGAAGCAGCTGGGAAACAAACTGGAGCCCATCTGTGATTCCAGTGCTTGGAGCTGGCTTAGTCAATTGAGCCTTTGCAACAGGCCTGAAATTTTTCCATTTAAGTTTATTTATTTGAACGACAGAGTGACGAGCAAGAGGGAGAGACAGAAAGGGAAACTTCCCACTGCTGACTCACTCCTGTAATGGTCACGGCTGCCGCAGCTGAGCCAAACAGAAGCCAGGAGCCTGGAACTCCACCTGGGCCTCCAAGTGGGTGCCAGGCTCCCAGGGACTTGGTCCATCCTCAGCTGCCCTCTCAGGCACAGGCTCAGGGAGCCAAGTTGGAAACGAGCAGCCAGGACTCCAGTTGGTGTTGACAGGCAAGTGGCTACCAGGAGCACCACAGTGCCACCCTGGAATGTGTTATTTCCACCCCGGAACCACAATATTACTCAATTTTTCAGAAGAAATTTTAGAACTAAATAGTTGTTGATGTTATATCAGAGCTTCTAATTGATTGGGATGATACTTTGCCGGCTTTACCTTCAGACCAAAGATGGTCTCACCAAGAAATCGTTGAGCCCACTAGGATAATAAGACGTTGGACTTTATGCTTGGTAAATACTCTCATTGAAAGAACCTCAACTGAATTTGAACTGTGGTAATGCAGCAAGGTGGAGAAATCCACCATGGGGAGACGGTTTGGGGAAGGGTGGCCTTTAACATTGTGTCACATAATGCAATAAAATTAATTTTAAAAAAAGAAACGTTAGAACTGAGACTTTGGCCCAGCAGCGTACCCTAGCGGCTAAAGTCCTCACCTTGAACGCAACGGGATCCCATATGGGCGCTGGTTCTAACCCCGGCAGCTCCACTTTTTATCCAGCTCCCTGCTTGTGGCCTGGGAAAGCAGTCAAGGACGGGCCAAAGCCTTGGGACCCTGCACCCTTGTGGGATACCCTGAAGAGGCTCCTGGCTTCGGATCGGCACAGTACCGGTCCTTGAGGTCATTTGGGGAGTGAATCACTAGACGGAAGATCTTCCTCTCTGGCTCTCTTCTCTGTATATATCTGACTTTGAAATAAAAATAAATAAATCTTCTTAAAGATTTATTTTTATTATTTTTTTATTGGAAAGGTGGATATACAGAGAGGAGAGACAGAGAGGAAGATCTTCCATCCGATGATTCACTCCCCAAGTGAGCGCAACGGCTGATGCTATGCCAATCCGAAGCCAGGAGCCTCTTCCAGGTCTCCCACACAGGTGCAGGGTCCCAAAGCTTTGGCCTGTCCTTGACTGCTTTCCCGTGCCACAGGCAGGGAGCTGGAAGGGAAGTGGGGCTGCCGGGATAGAACCAGCGCCCATATGGGATCCCGGGCATGCAAGGCGAGGACTTAACCACTTGCGCCACCGCGCCAGGCCCAAAATAAATAAATAAATCTTAAAAAAAAAAAAAAAAAAAAAAGAACTGAGACTTGACTTGATTTTTTGGGAAGATAACTCATTGGAAACCTTTTATAACAATCAAGACACTTGTTCAGGTGGACCCTGAGCTTGGGGACCCAACATTGCCTTTACGTGTTCACGAAGTATTCACAAGCTCCCCAACCGTCCTCGCTAAGAAACGTGTGCAGAACGCGCACACCCTCCTGTGGAAGGGAGTCTGCCTGGGACCGCAGACCGGGGCTTCCGCCGACCTGGGGCTTCCGCGGCGGTCCACGCCTGCGCGCTGCGAGCCCGCGGCTCCGGAGGAAGTCAGGGCAGGAAGCCCCGCCCCCTCCCCGCCCGGCCGGAGGAGCCGCGAGCCCGCGCGCCTTCCCGTCGACCCGGACCCTTCCGCGCGCGTGCGCGACCCCGCCCCGCCCCACGCGCCGGCTCGTGTTCCGGTTCGCGCCCGGCCTCCGGCCCGCGGCACCGGGCGCTCTCCTGATCCCGGTGTGGGCAGCGGCCCCCGACGCCAGCACCATGGTGGGTCCCGTGACGTCACAAGGGCGCGCTCGGCGGGGACCGGGGCCTGGAGGGCGGGAGGGTGTCCGAGCTTTGTCCCCACGGGCTGGAGTTTGGTCTTTTTTTCCCGCCTCCATCCTCAGTTCCTGCGCCTCGGGTTGCTGACTGCAGGACCCTGAAAACCTAGATCCAAGGAACATGTTCCCGGCCCAGCCCAGGCCTGGGGAGGGTGCGGGCGGGATTCGGGGAGAGGGACCCCTGCGAGGGACAGTGCGGGCTCCAGCAGCTCTCGGCGAGGGGCTCCGTGGAGTGCAGAGTCGTTCCGGCGCCAGCCTCTCTCCTCTGCCGCAGTGTTTATTGTGAAGCTTTGGGAGCTGCTAACGGCCCTAGGGGGATCCCAATGCCAGTGTTATAATACCGGCGGGTGCCCTGCTCCCTACGGGGTCCCTTCCCTTGTGATGGTTTTCCCCCCCTCTTGCCCGATAGCTCTTCTACTCCTTTTTCAAGTCCCTTGTGGGCAAGGATGTGGTCGTGGAACTCAAGAATGATTTGAGGTAGGTGTCTGTTGGCAGGTCTGCGAGGGGTGGGTGTGCCCAGGGCCAGAGATATGGAAGAATTACAGGTTAGCATGGAAGTTATACCGTGTATGCGTGTGCTACACACCTGTGTGGTATCAATGGAACGTGTTAGTCTGAAAAGCTATTCCGAGTAGTACTTGGGGCCTAATCTACCTTTTACTAATGTAAAGAATAAACAGAAATGAATGCACCCCCTTTTGTCTCTACTTTTACACCTCTGACCCTCTTACAGCATTGGCTCCTAATCGTCTTTCATGTCTTGGATTAAATTGCATACCTTTGAGGAGACTTCCTGAGGCTCCTGGCCCTGTCAACTCACCCATCACAGTCTATTTTCCTCCGAGAGGGTGTTTCTTAAATTGTGGTTTAACAGAAGTGTATTTTCTGTGTATAGCCTGTTTTCCGCACAGGGCCAGGATCCTCCTCAAGGTTGTCACTGTGTACCTGATGGCCAGTATAGACCTGTGGTAGGTGCTTGATTAAACAAAAGTAACAATTGAAAGGCTCCTCTCCACCAAGCAGTGTTCTGAATACAGTTAATTTAGTCCTTTTAAAACCCCGTGTGACACTGTACTTTAAAAAGTGTTTCTCATTGACTGATTTTTGTTTATCTGAAAGGCAGAGAGATCTTCCCTCTGCTGGTTCACTCCTCAGATGCCTGCAACAGCCAGGGCTGAGGCAGTGCAAAGCCAGGAGTCAGGAGCTGCTTCTGGGTCTCCTGTGTGGGTGCCAGGGCCCCAGGACTTGAACCATCCTCTGCTGCTTTCCCGTGAGCTGGCCAGGACTGGCCCACATGGGATGCCTGCATTATAGGCAGCGAGCGTCTTTACCAGCTGTGCTACAGCACCAGCACCCTACATGGCATCTAAATTGCTGTGTTAATTCCTGCCTCCCTATCTCTGCCATATCCTGTTTTTGTTAACACATCAAGAGTACAAAACGAGTAAATGACACAGCCAGAACTGAAGTTATTACTGTTCTTTTTTTATTTTTAATTAAAAAAAAAAAAGCAGGATCATATTCTCTTTGCAGTTGTGAGACCTGTTTTTCAAGTTACACTATAATCTGGATTTCTCTTGAGATTTTTATGTGAAATA